GCAGCCCTCTGGGGTATCGGCTACTCCTCCCAGTTTCGTGTCATCAGCAAACTTGCTGAGGGAGCACTCTGCGCCTTCATCCAGGACATTGATGAATAAATTGAACAGGACTGGACCAAGGACTGACCCCTGGGGGACACCGCCAGCTACAGGCCTCCAACTAGACTCTGCACCACTGGTCACCACCCTCTGAGCTCTGCCATCCAGCCAGTTCCTAATGCACCTCACTGTCCACTCATCTATCCCACACAGCCAGAGCTCTTTTATCACGCTGTTTCACAGCTTTTTACCATTTTTTTCAGTATTATACTGGAAGATATAAAAGCATCAATGCACACTAACTAGAACTGGTTATTTAATTGCTCAATACAATCTGAAATTTAACTGTAACTTGTGTTGATGTAGATGAGCCCAGATTTTTACCTTCATACATGCAGAGAAATCTCCTGTTTCTACAGTGCCTGCTACATGCTGTATAACTTGTTCCCTTTCACCCCCATTGCAGTACTAATGGCATGGTTTAGATCAGTACTGTGTACACACCTCAACATCGATCAGCAAATCTTACCTAGTTCTCCTCCAGAAATGGAAAAATCTCTTGGCAGGACTACCCATTTCTGGATGCAGTGGACTCTGTTCGTCGCACTCATGTTGACTTTGTTGATTCCTTCCTGAATGGCCTGGTAAATCGCCCGGTCCCTCGTAGCTACAATCTCCGACACGGTTGTGGCTCTACTGCCCCTCTTCTGGCAGAAGTCTCTAGCTTGCTCAGTAAGGATATCAGTCGGCTCCGATGTGTCTGGATCCAGGACACACTAAAATATGAAAGGAACTGGCTCATCAGTCACTCCCTCCCACCTGCAGTGTTTAAAGTTTCCCTGATCAGGTCTTTCCTAACTAGTAAGGATGAAGAAGGCTCAACAACAGCATCTAAACATAACGGAAATCTTGACAAGCAGAAACATGGATAACACGAGAGCACTTGCACTAGGGAGACAAGTGAAAAGAAAAAAATACTCTGGTTTACATTCAGGTGGTATAAACACACTTAAAATTTGCCAGTGAATTAGGCTATAAAGTCTTTGTATAGACCTTGAACTTCCACTGTAGTCCCAAATTATTCCATAGTTATAGGAACATATTTATCACAATATTCAATTGCATTATTGCGGTGTAATGCCAACAGTTTGAGACAAAAGCACTTTTAAAGCTAAGACTTCTCAAATTAATATTTCTGTTGTGCTTGTAAATAGGGAACTGCTCGTTATGGAGGTAAACAACTTTAAACTAGGAAAATAAATGAAGCATTTTTCACTTCATAGGTAAATTCTTATTTTCACTGCCCTAAGTGCAAATATTTCAGAAAAAAAAAAATCAATTGAAATGCACACCATAGCAAAGCTATCCATTATCTGTTCTACATCTATCCTTCAGTGCTATATTAAAAAGAAAAAATAATGCAGGAAACATTTCTGCTCAAAAGTCAATTCTGTGTAAATGTTTTTTCTTTTTCACTCTAGTAGACACAGAAAAATTTATCGGCCCTTCCTGTGGTATAGCAGCTTCTCCTATGCTCTCCCAGAGCCATGCATTGTTCCCACATTCTTAATATAAATTCACATTTAAATAAAAAGTAGGTCTTGTTGCATGCTTATAAGAAACAGCAATAAATGTGAGATGTTCAGCAGTATTTTAACCACTTAAGATGATCTTGGGCTCTACGTTTCATACATTTTTTCCCTCTAACTAATGTCCTCCTATCTACTTTCCAGCCTTTTTGCTAACTGTTCCAAACCTTTCTGCTTTTGTTAGCTGCAGGCAAATAATTCTGCCGAAATTATCATTAAAACTGGCGTACCTTTAGGGTCAGCAACATTGACAAAAACTTCTTCTTATCTCCAATCACCATGGCATTACTAACAATTGGGAGTTCTTTTTTGACAGCATCTTCAATTGGAATTGGAGGCACGTTTTCACCTCCAGCTGTAATAATCAAATCTAGGCATAAAAAAAGGTTATTAGTTGAATTCAGACAAATTCTGAAGAACAGGTTAGTGCCTAGGTAGATCCACTTTTCTTATTCTCATATGCAGAAACTGGTTCCCTCTTCTGAGGAAACAAGGTATATTACGTTATTATTTTCTTAAAAATAACAACTCTAACATTTCTGGACTATGTGCACTTTTGATCTGCAACACACGTGCTCCCATGTGCACACAAATTCCCTTATAAGAACCCTCGGGTAACCTAACTCCAGCCAGCAGCTGAGTTCTGTCTGGAGGCACTGTTGTACAGGCTGGGTATTTTCCAAGAGTGGCGAGCTGTGCTGAGCTGCTCCAAGTGAGCAGGACCTTCACTCTCCACTTTGGTGCTGTGAGCTCACCTAGAAGCTGCTGGGTACCCTGATTAATTCCTAAAGCCACCAAGAGAGGTCAGACAGACACAAGTCACTAGTGCAGGAAGACTTCCCACAGGCAGCATGGAAAGAGAGAGCAATGTGAGGAGGAAGAAGTCACCATCTGAGAGAGGAGGTCTGCAAAGCAAGGAAGAGCACTGCCTGCCCTGTTTTTGACATGAGCAGAGTATAATTTTAAACCGGTTTCTTAATATTTTTTATTTTTTTACCTTACTCTACCAGTAAAGGAGCGTACAATTTTATTTGAATGCACACATTGTGAAGTTTAATACATAAATTCATTGAAATTATTGCTCATTTTAATATTACCCTCTAAGGAAATTTCCAGTGTTTCCTTTTGTTCAACTACCAACTTCTCCCTGTTCACAAATCATGGTCTTTGCAGCATTCAGGCAGCAACATGCTTCAACAAGTGATGCAGACAATTGCTATTCCAGCCCTTTGGACAATATTATAACTTCAAACATCATGGATCAGGTTGGTACCTGATCCCCTTCCAGTGATGGGCTCAAGGAAGGCAGAGGCAAGTAAGAGCAAACTGCACACACGGATGGGCCCTACTGCTCTGCCGCAGCTACCAAGAGCTGCAGGAACCAACCTGCCCTCAACCTGCCACTAGGCGACAGGCATCGGCCTCCTCTCCGCTCGCTGCATCTCTCTTGCTCTCTCCTATAACAACATTTTTCCATACCTGGGCAAGTATCTCCTGTAGGGACTACAGCTATCTCTAGCTACACTCTTGGGCTTTGCGGCTTTTCTGAATCTCAGCTACCAAAGCTACTGACCTGCTACTGCTTTGTGCGTAATACAGTGAGTCCTAGACCTCGTAAGACTCAGAGAACCACAGAAAGAAGTCTGTCTATCCTGCAATTTAGACTAATTCTGTCAGTTCAGCAATCAGTGAAGATGCGAGTACAACACAAATGCTATGACAGAATGGGACTATGAGTTACCAACACCACACTAAAGAGGAATCAATCAGACAACCAGGAGAGCTGATTTTGATGCAGACTATTAAGAGCATCTACTGAAGTCCTAATGCCTGACAGAACTTTATGGTACCCTGTGACAAACTCACTCAGCCATGTCCTCTCCATAGTGACTCATCCTATATTCTAGGAAGATATCTACTCAATTTTTAAATCTTCTTAGTGACGTCTTAACTGTAACCAGTCTTGCTTTTGAATATGTAACTTGAAAAAGAGCCTCCAATTAAGCAAGTGACCAGTCTTATTTGGGTGGCATTTTCAGAATCAGAGACTGGTTGAGGTTGCAGACCATCTAGTCCAACCGCCCTGCTCACGCGGGGTCACCTCGAGCAGGATCCTGTCCAGATGACCTCTGAGCATCTCCGGGGATGGAGATCCCAGCTCTCCAGCCCGTCCAGGTCCCTCTGAATGGCAGTTCTATATAGTCAGCAGACTTGCTGAGGTACACTCAGTCCCTTCACCCGGTCACCGCTGAATAAACTGAACAAGACTGGTCCCAGTATTGACCTGTGGGGGACACTGCTAGCCACAGGCCCCCAAACTTTAAACTACTCATTGTAATAATACCCAGCTTATTCTCCTAGCTTTAACCTTCCCTTCTGCTCACCGATTTCAGGATGACGCTCTGCAAACACATCCCCTAAAGGCATCAGAGGAACCTAGCTCTGACCTACAGGAACAACTTTTACATAATGGAAGAATTGTCTCTCATTATTGTCTAAACATTTTATGTGTAATTAAGTCAATTTAGTAAGACTCAAAGGGATACTGGACAGCTTCGTGGGCCATTGAACTTTCAGAAGATCTTAATCCTGCATTATTATTTTATACTATAAATTATTATTAATAATGAATAAAGGTCTGGATGAAAAGCCTCACTACAGGAATTAAATCAATTCTTCCTACTGAAGACTAGAAGGAAACTCTTCCTGAGAACTGGCCCTGCCACGGTTTCCTCATAAGAAAGTTTATTTTAGTTTCCTATTAGTTAAATGCTGCTGGCCTTAGAGGAAAGGCACTTCATTAGATGGACCATGTCTGCCATATGACTAAGCAGTGCTGAATACTTAGTGTGAACACAGAGCAAGATTGTTGAATACCTTTAATCCTTCCAGTGACATAGAGGAAGCCATCCTTGTCCAGCTTTCCTAAATCTCCAGAATGCAGCCACCCATCTTCATCAAAGGCTTCTTTTGTTTTGTCCTCCATATTTAAATAGCCCATGAAAACAGTTCTTCCCCAGAAACAGATTTCTCCATTGCCTTCTGTATCTTCATTCACCAATTTTACTCTGCAACCAGGTACTGGTTTACCACAGCTATGAGGGAACAGGGGGGAAAAAAACACAAGGCACGCAGAAATATAAAACACATTACTGATAAAAAGTCTGAAACACTAAATATCTGAACCTATCCAAAACAGAAGTTGGTACAAATATATAAAAATAAACCATAAATTCACCTGTGCTGTCTGTAAATATATGGCCCAGATAGGCAGTGTGGGCCTGTGGTCTCACTCATCCCATAGGCCTCATACAAGGTGATGTTCAGACCCAAGAAGAAATTCAGTGTTTCTGTATTGAGAGGAGCAGCACCACAAAAATGCTTCTGACAGCAAGAAAATCCCAGCGCATTGCGGATTTTTGCAAGCACCAAGTAGTCTGCTAACCTCGTCCAAAACAGCTTCAAATCACTGCCAGGTACAAAACACATAAAAAGAAAAGAGATTAAGTAAGAGTAATATATAAAATTTGCAAATCAAAAGCACATGCAGATGTTCTTTAGAGATATATTTACCATTTATTTTTGGTGTTGACATAACATATGTCAATAGGAACAGCTAACACATTTCTCTTCTACTCATTTATTCAAATGCTTTCCACATTTTTTCTAATGTACTCGAAACATTCTGCTTGAGAGTTGAAAATGCAGAAAGAACCTATAACAATGCATTCTGTAAGACACAGCTTTTATGTCTTTCCTCATTCTTCATCAGTTAAATGTGTCTCTTTGAGAATGAATACCACTGCAGCTGAGATTTGCAAGCCCTATCTGAGAAGCTGAAAGCCCAGACAAGCAAAACGGTATCAGCACAATGTAACGTTTGAAATCCCATACATAATCTCAAGGAAGGTGGAAGGGGACCTTTAACAGTCATCTCTGTTTAAGAGCAGCCTAATGTGTTAGATAACTACACTCTCCCTTTTTTCACCGCGTAGCCAAACTCCATTTTACCCACATATATATGTGAGTCTTTCTCTGATATTAGAGAGGCTTCTTACAAGTAGACACTTTCAGCATGATGGAGATCTTGTTCATTCAATACACACCTGCTTGAGCAGTTTAAGTTTCTCTCTAAGCTAACTGACATAGCCCATGAAAGCATTTTCTTCTTCACAAATCCCGACTGAGCAGAAGCATCCTTTAATTTCTCCATGATTTTCTCCCATACTCGGGGAACTCCCATATGAGATGTTGGTTGCACTTCTTTTAGTGTGTTGATCAAGCTGCCCTGTTAAAATCATATGAATTCATATCAAATCATTGCAAAAGGTCCATGCTGCTGTTGGGAGTTTTGATGATATAGCTTGCATCTTGCAACACTTGTATGTAGACCATCACTAAACATGTGCAATATAAACAAGATCTGTTGAATTAGGTATCTGTTTCAATCAGGCAGATGCACTAACATGTTTGCTCTGACACATGTGCGCATACACATAGGAAAAGAAAAAAAAAAAACACAGGTGGTTTATTTTTTCTGCCTCCCTGTCCTCAAAACCCGCTTATACTTTTGCAGTAGAGGCATTCTTTTCTGTACACTGCTGTTTTATTTTTTTCTGCCTTCCTGTCCTCAAAACCTGCTTATACTTTTGCAGTAGAGGCATTCTTTTCTGTCTCAGTAGAAGCAGATCTGAATCTGGAGAATACATTTTACACCTACATTCAGAGTATTATGAAAACAAACCTGAAGTTAGCTGTTTAATTATGCTAGAATAGTTCTAGCTATTCTAGAACTGAGATCCACTCAGGCACTGGTGTCGAAGTCATTTTTCAGCTTTATGCAGAGGCAGGAAAGATACCAATTTCAGGCACTCTTTTTTAATAGCAGTTTAGAGACCTTGACTATAGACAGGGACCAGTTTTCTAAGCAGAAAGGGAAGCAAATGGAATCTAGAGAAGTGAAGTATGTATCTAAATGAGATTGAGTTTTCCATAATTCTTACAATAACAAAATTTCAACCTTCATCTTCTGCATCTCTTTCAAGACCATAATCTATTCTTAGGACATTTTCTGAAACAAAAAAAGTGCAAGCTTGATTAGGTGCAATGTGTGGCAGATACCTTTAAAGCATCTGGCTCAGCAAAGTAAACTTGCTCTCCCCACTTGATTCCTGTCCACAGGTCGTATATCTGCGCAGCTATGTGGCTGAGTGGGAGATAACTGACTATAGACTCCTGCTGGACCTCTGCAGGCTGCATATCTCCTGCTTTGCTGCAATGTGCTGATGTCCAAGTTATCTATTTAAATAAAGAATAAAACATGTTAGATATTTTTCCCTTTTCACACAAACCAAGCATCCTGACCTGCTATGACAATGTGAAGAACTGCACTCACAGAAACTGCTGGGGACACCATGAGTGTTGACTGCATTGTGGGTGCCACTGCTCTAGAGCCACTTACTCAAAAGAAAGATGAATTAATCTAGCAGCAACAGAGATTTGCAGAAAATAAAAGGAAATTCAGTCCTTCCTCTGCCTATCTGGCCTAAGAACACTACAAACTCCCCACTCCCCCGTGCTCCATAAAACTGGCACACTAACAAAAACAACACAATCTAGTAAAGCAGCTATGGGCTAGATGGACAAGGAGAAGATTTATCAGCCTCTTATTTTGCAGCATTCCTACAGTGCGTGATTTCTATCAAGCTGGCAATTTTCACTTGTATGTGAATAATGCTAAAGATTCACTGTTTGACTCTTTTGAGGAATTGGAGGATGTTTCCTTTGAGGTATAGTTCTGTGATGTCATTTTCCTGCTACATATTTCTCACTTGATGCCAGAAAACGCTGTTGAAAGATGCTAAATATCTTCATTATCAGAATAGAACAGAGAGAACTCATACATGTGGTCACATGAGAGAAAAAAAAAAAGCTGCACAGAGAAAAAGTAAACCTGGTTCTTTCTCAGAGGAACCTATATCTAAACAGAGTTGGGCAGAACATAGAAAGTCTATTATTCAGGATGCAGAGAGGTGATACAAGTAGTGCATCATGCTTGCTGTCACCATATGTTATGCTTCCTACCAGTACTTTCCCTTTGTAATAACTTAACACATTAATAGAGAGTATGTTTAGTCTACGGAAATGCAGATTTTCAGAGCAGGATTTTACGGAGCAGCCTGCTGTCAAGAAAAGCCACTCCAAGTTTAGAGGGCAGCACTGCAGAAGCACCTATGAGAGAAGGAAACACAGCAAGCAGAACAGGATGTCTTTGAATGTGGCTGTTCTGCCTGCTTGGCCTCCAAAACCTCACAGCATGCAGGCAGGTTCACAGCACCAACTCAGCACTGGCTTTGCACATGGGACAGCAGGAAACATCTTTTGACTAAAGAAGGCAGAAGCACAGTCACAGACAAGGCATGTTTTCCACTGTTGCTCAACATAAAAATAGCCTGTTTGTAATCAGTAGCCAGGAATAGTTTGGCAGCTAACATGGAAATGACACCAGACTCCTTTGAGATGTAGGAGTATAGGATTTGCGATGTCACATCAGTATTTCTGTCTGTCAAGTCAACTGTGTCCTGCTTCCAGATACCACTGTGCTCAGCCCAACACTGGATCACACTGCATCACACTGTGCACATCGGTAATAGTTCCTGCAGTCTTCTCA